ATTGTTCATGTTAGCAGGCAGCAGGCCCTCTATCTCGACAGTTGCAAACACATACTTCTACCTCATACAAGAAAACTGTCTTACTTCCTCCTAGAAACAGGGCTTCTGCCCCCAAAGGTTATGGACTGTGTTTCACATCAATCTTTTGTTGCGAAAGTTCCTCCCTCATTACGCAACGGGTCCAATCTAGAAAACCCTTATCCTACATCCAGTGATGACAGATTCCTTGAACACATAATATCTCTCCTCACAGATATACTCCCAGATTCAATGATGCATTACCGCCCGTTGCATATAAACTAAGCTTATTAACTAATATCCTACCGAAAAATGGACCAGAGAAACCTAATGATGAACACCTTTCAGTAATTTTGTTCAATGGCACACTAGAAGTGTGATCACTAAATCCATGCACTTAAGTACTTACTTAAAAAAATCACATTATCACTGCTACCATCTCTGAGTCATGGTTAAACCGAACATTCGACTTAGAGTGCCTGGTAACATATGTCTCAGGGAGGACAGAGATGATGGCCATGGTGGCTGCGCTCTTCTCATTAAAAATTGCCTTACTTACACTAAATTGTCTATTCCTTCTCACAGTAACACCTTCAACATAATTAATAACAGCGACAAACTCAAATATTTATTTTGTATCTATCTACTCCCAGGCGGGGGAGCGGGTGTGAAATACTCATAGATACCGGACAGCCGGCTGCAAGGTTATGTCAGTCAGACTCTTACTGACTAAAACACACCCGTAGTTCATGCTTATGGCCAGAAGGACCTTACAAGTTTCATCTGAAGCGATTATCACCTGAAAAGGGGATGATGCGGTATAACCACCGATCTTTTCAAGTGCTTATATACTTTTGACGTGACAACGTCTTAAATTAGGTTGCGGCTGGGAGTCACTTATGAAAAAGTGTAACGCTCGGTAACGTTACGATGAGTCTCTCGTGTTAAGTTTAAGTTTACATGTACAATGTTTTAGTAAACAAAATATATTTCTATAGTTAAAATTTGTGCAATTCTTATTTACATTCAATTCCTTGTTCCTATTGTGCAATTTAATTATATTCATATCAATAAATATTCTACCGAGAAAAAGACGTTGTCACGTAAAATCTTCGCCCGTAAAACCGACTTTACAGGCAACCATTTTTTTATAAAAACGTAACGTTAGCGCGACCTAGAATCTGTTGCCTGTTGAGCTAATGATATTTTATTGTGGTTTTTAATTACTTTTTTTAGATATTGTTGCAAAACAAGGTTATACACTACAATAACTTCATCTATATATGTCACTATTAATGTTTTCTTCTTAGGAATTTTCAATAGGTAAGAAATTTTCTTTAACAAATGTTGAAGTATTATTATTATTCTCCTGAAGTCAAAATTGGTAATCTGATAGTTCCTTGTTCAGAGCAAGTTTAATTACTGGGCATTATTCTTGCTAATAAATTAACAGGTTCTGCACATGTTAGTTAGTACATCACTGAAAGATGCGAAAAGATGGTAAATATTTTGAAATCCCTCTCAGGGGTATGGGAGGTTCCCACACATCTCCACAATAACTTATCTACAATGCACTTATTCGTAGCCTTCTCGACTACAGGTCTTTCTTGCTGGAGCCCTGTAACAAAGAATCATTTGTGAAACTAGATAAAATACAGCTTTAATGCCTTCGCATCATACTGGGAGCCATGAAATCATCCCCTGGTATTGCACTTTCGGTTGAAGAGGTCGAATCTCCTTTGGACCTGAGACGTCAGTATCTTTCATATAGATTTACTTTTAAGTGTATGCAGGCAGTATCCCACATACTCTGTTTACAACTTCATGGTATTACCCCACCTGCTGTGCTATTAGAACAAACTCATTTTTCGCCGTGGAATCCACGTGTGATTTGAAATAACAATAAGAATTCGTATTATGTTATTTGAAATTCGTATTTTACTTTTTAAATCACCCCTCGAATACCACGGTAAAAAGTGAGTTTGTTTTGACATTATAGCATTGCTATAGCGAACGAACCAAAATCGAATTCGAATAGTTGAATACGTTCTCGATATGCGTCAAATGTCAAGAAATGTTGCATGGAAGATTTTATTTAATATTCTTTAGTCCGTTGTGGGCCTGTTCAAATTTCTATACACAACTTCTTCAAATTTGATGTGTATCGAGATCGAATTCAAAATTGGTACTGCAACACTGCCTACCATACTAAACTCCGACTGCATTAACAATATATACTTAACTTCCTTAACAAGGCTAAGAAACTACCCCACCTGATAAGAAAGTGTTTATTGCTTCTGTCTACATTGTATTGTCATTATACTCCTCGTTGTGCCAAACATCGTTGAAACCAATTTACTGGCCCTTGAAGTTACTTGATGGGAAATTTAAAAATTAACCCGGTCGCCTCACGCGACGTCGCGCGTCACACATAATGTCACGGGCGACAGCTCGATGCGATGTCAGAGGGTGCTAGCTCGTTATTTATTCAAACGTTCACTTTTACTTTGTTGCCATGAGCTTTGTCAATTGTCTTGTGATATAAATAATGTTGTAAGTATCTTATTCTTTTATTAGTGATTGACCTTTTGTCCTAGCTTGATGAACGATAGACGTGACCACCTCACGAAGCTCTGCGTAGCAACAGTATCAAATACCTAAGTAATCGCGCGGAAGGAATTGGTCGCGACTCTCGTCACGTCCGTACACAAATTACTAAAGATATTAGTATCTCCTCCCTCTATTCCATGTGAGTGTCCCATTTAGTGCAGCTAGTTGTGTACATATTTTTATATAGGTATGTACAGGCAGAAGTTTTCTTTTATTTTCTCAGAATGACTGCAACGCATCATCCAAAGAATGTAGTATTAAAACATTGTATTCATAGCAATTTTTGGTCCTGGAAAGAGCCTCTTTGTCCGGTTGCCCTCGACGGCAACGCGACCGGGCTTAGCCACATGCAAAACAAATGCCAAAAGACGTCGAGTTGTGGAATCACAGCGTTAGCAATAGGAACTTGCGACCGCAACGAATTTTTTTTGCATGAAAACTCCAGCAAACCTTCTATTTCTGTTTCTTCCATAGAAACTTAGACGATGGCGACATGAATACTTTCACGCTACTTGTTCGTGCCTGGGGCACGGTAATGGGGTTCCGTTGCAACCGTTTGAGTACGGAATCCTAAAAAAAACACCTGGGGGTAAATTTTTCTACCTCCCAAATATCAATACATTCAAGATGTTATTATTGTTCAGAAAAAAGAATTAGGCAAGTCTCATTTGAATTTCATAAATCACGAAAATGAAGGCACGCTGGCTCCTGGCATATTAAAATGTGCCTCAAGCCATTTGCAAGAATCCTTTCCTAATATCCTATATTTGAGTATAAATTTTGCCAGTTACCTTTGTCTTACGATTCTTACTGCTTCTAAATATTATTATAGTATATTTTATTTAAATTTTATTAACATATAAAAATATAGTAGTTTTATGCTAAAAATAGAAAAATTGTATCGTTTTCGTTTAGTTCTATTAGTACTTATGACTAAACGAAGGAAAATATCCGTTAATTTCTACTAGAACAACTGCAGTGCTATTCTGTAAAATTTTCACGCTCGAATCTGATGCGGATTCGGCGCGTTTCCCATACAGATTCGCGTGAAAATTTTACGGAATAGCACTGCAGAACGGATAAGAAAAATGTTTCTGTCCTAATAATAGAAATTAACGAAGAAAAAAATTTTGAAGTTCGTGTAGTTGTACGATGAGTTCTACAAAATAGTAGTGCAGTGCGATTCTGTAAGATAAAATCTCACTTCCGAATTCGATAGCTATCCTATTAAACATTAGTTTGATATGAATTTTTTGGTTGCACGGCTAAGTGTCGCAATGACTGTTGAAACAGCCAGTAATTGATTGAATGACAGCCAGCCAGAGATTTATCTTACAGAATCAACATGCTGAACGGACAGCAGTAAAATGTAGTAAATTCTTTATAGCATTGACTGTGTTTTTGAGGAACGTGTAAGAACAACTTACTATGTAGAAGGATGGCGTTCGTGGCTTACCGTTCATTCTCCTTGATTTGTCCACATTATCTAATAGATAATAACCACACCCATCTATGTCCCATCATATAATATTAGACATTTTGTAATCATAATTAATTCATACGTAGAGATATTTATAATTCTGTCTGAAAATTTTGAACTAACTATACAATACTATCTACACGTTCTGAATTTTGAGTAATTCAATCACTATTGTAACTTGCAGAATCTCTCTAAATGACCAGAATCGAATACGACCACCAAATACTATAATAGTAGATGAAGATCAAGATATATGTACTACTAGATTCTACCTAACAAAATAAAACAGGGGTGATAAATAAAACAGTAGCTACACAGCCGGGCGGCAAAATCGAATATACTCATATTCGAGATGAATGTTCGGCAGTAATTACTAAGGGTCGGCTTTGTTGTTGGACAAATACTGTCGAGCCGACTATGTAAGCCCGATTATGTGTATAGCTACCCTAACTTTTTTCTCTGACTATCAGGTAGATTATCAAAAAATTATTGACTCGTATTTTTTTTTATTCAGATAATCAAAATATAACAGAGATATAGTGACTTGAAGTGTTGCATGACGTCAGGTCTTGAGACGATTTTAAGTTAGAAGTGACGTCTAGAGTCACCATTACCAAACTTTGACACGCTTTATCTTTGTAACTTTTTGGTTGTTCGACAAAAGAAAAAAAGTGTCAAGTATCTTTGGATAAATCTAACTAACGGACTAAACATGATTTCGTTTATTTTACCCTGTAATCATCCCTACTGCCTAAAATCAGCATCTAATTCTCTGTATGTAAAAATCTTTGTGTAATTGTAATCTGCTCTATTAATGATATCTGTATCAACAATAAGCCAATATTTTTATAGTAAGGGCCTTTGATTGGAATAAAAAATATAGCGTTTTTTTTTCAAAACATTTTTATTACATTGTCGTTTTGGCAAGAGGAAGATAACATGCGCTTTTCTTACTATAGATTCAAAATTCTTATCTTAAACATTAATACTTTTTGGTTTATATACAATACAATCACACGTATAAGTACTATACTAAAAATGATGCCAAAGTTTTACATTTATTGGATTTTTTTATTAGCACCAAATATGCAAGAGATATGAATAATTACAATTGGAATATTCAATATTTGAAACATGCCCTAGTTGTAAATATTATATTATTATTGTTGAATGTACTGAATGAATAATATTATAGTTTTTGTTAAGTAATGTAAAAAAAACATTCGCGACATAATACTTTTCGTAAAATTTTAGAAAAAACAGCTTTTAAGTCTTTGAACAGTAAATATTGTAATTATTTCATAATTTTGTACATTTCTATTATATTTTTATCTATATACACTTTTATTGCACAAATTATTACTATGGAATGTCGAAAGTCATATCTATACAATACAAAAAGACAACACCTAATTAGCATACATTCCTATTTACAGACACTTAAAGGACAATCTCAAACTTACCACATTTTAATGCAATTATTATGTACAATCATCACTAGCTAGAAATATAATTATACCTTCATTCCATCGTTAAACGGATACTTTGAGAATTAAAAGGTACTGGGGTCGAAAAGTTACAAAACCACTATTTGGTCTAATCTAAAATAACATCACAAATGCACTGGATACTCAACTTCCTACAATAAGCTTAGGTATGTTTATTTAGGTCAAGATGTATGCAATGGGACACTCCTGCTGTTCTGGCGTCTGGCAACGTGAGATTCATAGTGCATATTCCTCTTCGTCCTGGAGAAGAATGCGGCGTTACAACCATTTATCGTGCACCGGTGTAAAGCTTGCGCATGTACTGTTTCACAATGATGTTTCAGGGAGTTGAGTTCTTTGAAATTATCTCTGCAACCTCTACACGGATAAGTGCCATCTTTATTCGGACGCGGAACCTCTTCTTCGACTGAGTAACTTAGCTTTCTTGGCGAAGGCGGAGAGTAACTTTGGCTTTGGCAGCCGAAAGCATTGAGATTAGGTGGAAGAAAGCTTAAAGGAACAGGTGGGAAGTTTGGTAGCATTCCGAATGGCGCGAAGAGGAAAGGGTGCTGAGCAAACATGTCACGGTTGCTCAGATATGCTTCAGGCAGCTGCAAAGGTGGGTACGGTGTGCCAAAAGGCATATGTTGACTGAATTGAGTCCTGATCTTATCTGACTCCTTTGCCCTGTAGTATTTATGGGATTCTATGTATGGTACAGCACGCTCTTCCTCCTTGAACCTCGAGATAAGCTCCATTTGCTCCCGAACTTTTTCAATTAACCGAGATGGAGATTCAACACAGATTCTTAAATCTTCAGAAGACAATATTTTTCTGTGAAGGTTTTCGTTCGCGCTATGCCGGTCTCTACTTCGTCTTGATGGGAAAGACGCTCGGCATCCTTCGATGTTACATTTATACATCAACTTCAGGTGAGCGGTCTGGTAATGCGTTTTCAACAGGTATACGTTTTGAAATACTTTTCCACAAACTGCGCAACGTCGCGGATTTTCTTGATCAAGAGGGACGTCAGCGGTGCTTACGAAAAATCCATTGTCAAAATGCCCGTAAATCTGACCGTGATTTTCTTCAGTTGCGTAATCAAAGCTTGACACCGATGAAGACGGTGATCTATCTGAGTAGTCTATAGATTCGGCCAACGATAAATTAAATGGCCCGATTGAATTCTGAACATCAGACTTTTTCGAATTTGGAAAATCTCCCTTCGATAAGCTTTCTAATCTTTTTAAAGCATTTTCTGATGAATAGTGGTCTTCATTTGATTGAAAGTTATTATTTGTTTTGCTTTTCTCGGATTTTTCAATCGGTTCCTCCTTTATTCGCAAGTCTTGTGCGCTATAATTGCAGTCAATAGGTTCTTCTTTGACAGGTGCTATTTCTTGTTTTACCGAAATATTTTCGCAGTTGGCTTGTGGCTCTGTAGGTTCTAAATTGTTTTCACAATTCTCTGTTTTGACTCTTTTTAGATCAACAACGTTGTATTCGCTTTCAGTTTGAGGTTCTTTCGATTGGTTCTCGTTTTTAAGACTTTCGTCTAATGAATGATTATTGTGTAATCTTGTTGGATTTAGATTTTTACGTTTTCTTTTAACTTCATGATTAACAGTTTCATCCTTTCGATAATCAATATTGTCATTATTATCACTTACACTCCTCTGATCATATTCAGTTTCTGAGTCATCAACCGATCCATTTGATTTATGGAGATTCGAATAATATGTAGTATCCATATGCTCCCCATCATCATCATCGTCATCTCCAGCAACGACGACTATTCCATCATCCTCGTCTGATTCACCTTGACCATCCTGATCTTTGTTCTCTACAGAGTCTGATTCTCTGCGTAAGTGTGAATGATCTATGCCAGAAACGAAGTTCATATTTACATTGCTCTTATAATCTAAAGGTACATTCGATGCAAATTGTCTCATGTTATGAGGAGGGTTCAAAAGAGGGTATGAACCAAATGGGTGCATGGAATTCATTACAGGTGGTATGCTTAGTCCTGCAGAGTGAGGTGGAATAAGAACCGAATGGGATTGAGCGCTTCTGCCATCGTGAGGAGAAATTTTTCTTCTCAAATGCGGTGAATGCAGTTTTGGATTTGGATTAGCGCTGTGACGATTTCTTGATCTCCGTGAGCTAAACATCATACTACATCCCTCTACAGTACATTTATGCATTTCCCTGAGATGTACAGCAGAAAAATGTATCTTTAATGCACCTTTATCACAAAAAGTTTTCAAGCACACGTTACATTGAACTCTTTTTTTTCCAGTGGCAGGATTTATAAAATGTGTTCCTAAGTTTAATGGCATCGGTGATGCTCCCCATTGTCGCTTAGGCGGGGTTATACATTTACCTAATAGCAAGTTTCTAGAGTTTTGAGCTGCTTCATATGAATCTTTACTCAAGTTAAGTACGTTTTCCTCGTCTTGTCTCATATTGTCTAGTCTTAATTTCCCAGATAGATTGTTAGATTTGTTTTCTACAGATTCTACCTGTTTTGCAGACATCTGCGGTATTAATGCTTGCAACGATGCAAGCCCCATGGGGTTTTGACTCAGGGCAGCCACCATTGCTGCAGGGTGATTGAACGTAGATGGCATTGATATAGGTGGAATTGGTAAGTTTCCAGGTAATGGAAAATTAAAAAATTGACTCCTCATTAAATCCATCGTAGCCTTTTCTGCATGACTCATGTCGTAACTAAGTTTTCTATTTTCTTCCTTCTCATTACCATCGCTAGATTTGTGTTTTCGGAAATCAAAAGGTTGCATATTTTGAAGGTGACTTAGAGGAGATGAATTTACTGGGCTAGTGGTTGAGAGCGGGCTAGATGAGGTAGATAAACGAACACTAGGATTCGGTGAAAGCTCGGCTGAGGACACTCTGTGAGGTGAACTGTTCTGAACGGGAGACGACCTACTTTGTAATGGAGATAGTCTTTCTTTCTTCACTTCAGATATATCATCTGCAGGAGTCTTCATTTGTTTCTCTTGAATACTTCTAAGATATTCAAAGTGTTGCTTCGCCTCCATCATGTGTTGAAAATATTTAAGAGATTCTTCGTTGCGGGTATCCTTCACCGATTGTTCCATAAGTTTTCTGAACTCGGCCTCAATCTTCAGCTGTTCAAAGGCACGAGGGTCATATGCTTCCGATTTCTTCTCACTTTTGCTTTGATCGTAGTCATGATTATCTCCAGGGGGCGAAGGAAGGCCATTCTTCTTGTAAATGGGCAAAAGCGAAGTCTTGTGAAGAGCTCTTGCTTCTTGAAGCTTTAGGATCTGTTGTAGCGCCATGTTGTGCTCTGGTCCTCGTCCGCTCCATCTCTCTGCGTTACTTGTCTGTGATTCCTGTAACAAGAAAAGAATTGATTATGTTTCCATTTTGAAATAACCAGTCATCCTTAGATAAAATTAATAGTCTGTAAACATGTAATAATACGTCGTCTGACTAAATAAATTGATATGTTGTTTAGAATGAATACAATCGGAAAAAAATGTGGCTAATTCTAAAAGATTATCGAGTCTAGAGCAACTTAAACACGGGTTGTATAAACTCCTCAAAGCAGCTATAAGGCGAACACAAAACCACACCTTGCGTTTTCAAAGGCTAATATCAAATTAATTCTGAGAACGGAGAGCAATTGGGTAAAATTGTGTAAAATGAAGGCTTTGAATCCACTCAAGAATAGAAAAGTGGTTTGTGTCGCGTGTTCGGAACGATTTAATCCAAAAACTAAATTACTATTCATTTAGTAAGCATTCGGGTCGGCTCGCGTTGTCAAAGCTAAGTTTTGTTTAATTTGACCACTCCTCAAAAATTTATTTTAATGTGAACTTGTGAATGTTAAGATTTCAACATTAAGGTAATGCTTTTTGATATCGTAACCTTTTTTGAGCTTTTACGTATGTATAATTATGAAAGTGGTTCCTTTTATATTCCATTTTCACCTCGTTTACGGTTGTTTTTTAAGTATGATAAGAAGCTTTTATAGATTTACGTATAAAACGAAACACTATTGCTATGCCTCCGCTGTCGGATGGTCTGCTGTATCTAATACACTTCCAAATTAGTTTATTAAATTATTATTGCATGTTATGTATGTTCATATTACAAATGTCAATTTTAAGGTTTCGTGATATGCGTGACAAGACAAGTAGCCTCCGTAATCTGTCCTCAATAAAAACTTATAAGCAGTTTCACAACATATGTTAAAATACGTATTAGTTAAATAACTTAACTGGTGGCATAACTTAAAAATCTCTACTGCAGTATCATCATTAAAATTAACAGTACAGAAAATGTTTACTTCATAGTATATTTGGATTTAGCTGTGCTTTGGAAGACACGTTAAGCGTTGGTCTCGGCTGCATTTGCAGTCGTTTGTACTGACCAATTCGCACTGGTTCAATATCCCTATTCCATCCATAGGAAAGACCTGTGCTGTGCCTCAACAGTGGTGGGTGATATTTGGATTTTTTAATCATTGCCTTTTCACCATTGTTACTAGAAATTTGCATGTGCCCACAGAAAAAGAATTGAAAAAAGAATTGAACCAAAAGTTCCTGGCTGTTAATTTCCTCAATGACTAAAGTTCACGTGTCCCAGCACATTTGTCGCATTACGTGTCCCTAAACAGTTGTCGCCTGTTACCAGCCGCTTGTCACTGGCGTGCGGCGACACCCGCGCCGTGTCATTACCGGGACGGCGAGACGGCCCAAACAATCCACCCGGGGGGCAATTTCACAAAACACAGCAATCACAAAAAACGTAACTCCAAAACGTTCCGTTTCTAATGCCACAAAACGGATAATCGTCGCATAATAAAGTGTCGTTTAAGAAAAACACACGTTACCGAGCGAGTTGACCGGACCCTAATTATAGGGCGTATAGAAAGCAATTCCCTTCTTAAAAGCGAGTAGATTTATCCCCGCCGTGTGACGTGAGCGTGAGTCCTTTCGAACTGTATCATCTTTATAATTGTGTCAATTTAAAGAGAAAACAATAATGATCGTTCTCATACAGAATTTAATAGGCGTATTCGTTTTATGCCACCTTTATTGTGAGTAATTTTTAATTTAGTTTTAAATTAGCCTATAAATCGATCGGGCGTTGGAATTGTTTAATTTTAATAGCCCCTCTACATTGTGACTGCGGGTTAATTTTAGCAAAGCTGAATTTCTCATTACCGTGAAGCGACGGTGCATAGCGTTTAAGTTCCTATAGCCTCCCATTAAGCAATCACATCATTACAAAGGAAATTCATATATGTAGTTTAATTAAATTATGCTCCTTGCCGCGTCCCGAGCGTGTAGTGTGCGTAATCAAAAGACGGGACACGATTTTGAATAATGTTACAGGGTTTTGAAGGCTTCGCAAGTTTGTAGTACACAAATTATACAGCTCACAGATAAATGTTAATATATTGGCCATTTTGTAACTCACTACGAAAACATTACAATTGTAAAGCAAATCTTACACAAACTCCAATTTCGTTTCAAGAATTACTGAAAATTTGACAACTATTATGAGGAGCTCGATGGCGTAGGTGGTTAGCGCGTGCGGCTGCGATCGTTCAAGTTAAGCAACTTTCGCAGTGGTGGGTTATTGGATGGGTGACCAAAAATCTTCTATCTCGAGTTCCTCCGTGCTTCGGAAGTCACGTTAAGCCGTTCGTCCCGGCTGCATCTGCAGTCGTCAGAACCCGCCCATCCGCGCTGTGTCCGCGTGGTGGGTCATGGCCTAATCTCCCTTTTCTATCCATAGGAAAGGCCTGTGCCCCAGCAGTGGGTACATTAATAGGCTGATGATGATCATGATATTAGCACTTTATTATATGAGTGTAAAAGTTGTTAAAACATACGACTTTGGTGATTTATGTATTTATTGCCTGTACCAATGCCAAGTAAGCAACAAACGGTATTTAAGGACCAATTATGTCTATACAAGTGACCTAGACTGTACTGTAAATAAAAATATATACTGAAAAGACCTACCTAATTGACCGCCTTACCATTATCAAGATACTAAGAAACAATAATGTTGGTTACCGTTTGGTTTCTAAATATATAAAAAGCTTGTCGAAGTAAGTAAGCACAGGAAAGTTTAAATCTAAAGAAAAGTTTACTAGAAAAACACATAACATAAACATCTTTAGATTTAAACATTTAGCAGTTAAATACTTAAAAATTAAAAACATAACCACAGCTAAGTTTTTAATAAAAACAAGATTTACTTTTTGATTGAATGATTAATCTAACTAGACGGTTAGATGAGCAAAAAACTCAAGAGATGCGCTTGCGCTGTTTTTGCCTCCATCGACAAGACGTGACGGTTTCCTGTAAGGTAATCTGCGTCCACTAACGGTGAGAATGTTACGAGTAATTGTCAACAGTCAACAGTAAAAAAACATGAAAAAAATCGTCCAAAGTCGCAATGTTAAGGCGAGGTGACTGACCCGCGAACATTTTTACAAGACACTGCACACTTATTGCGTGCGAATAGAGTGCATTTTCCGTTGCCCTAGGCGAAGCGCATAAATATGTCCGTACAACTGACCCACGCCTACCGGCAGAGCAATGGACAAGCGGACATATTTCACGAATTTTTTTATTGTCCGCGTAACATAACAAAGTGTACCTTATTACTGTGACGTTTGGTGTAGTATCGTGATGCTGTGCAACTTTCTTTGCTTTTTAAAAAATGCGCGTTTCGCGATGATCGTTTTTCGTTGGCTCCACGTCGTGACATGCCATATTGTTCAGCGCATGATACATGAAGTAAGTAAACAGGTTTGAGTACAGTGAAGCGCAAAATGCGTTGCCGTTTTGCGTAATGACTGCTTTAAACATGCGCCGGAGTCGATAACACATTCATGTGGGAAAAACTTAAATAAGCGTAATGAGAAATGGCTTTTAGCTCTTTTTTATTTGCGTGCTCATTTGGACACTATTTGCTGTGAAAAGATTTAGCGCCGTCCCTCCATAGTGGACTTTTTGTTTAAGTTTAATTATATAGTCATGAGTTGCTGTCGTCTTTTAATGAAAATATGAATTAAATTACACATCTCATTACAAAAGCTAAAGATTTGAAAGTTAAATTTTAGTCTTGCTTATACATATAGGTATTATAAATATTGAACATTCTGCGATATTTATAATTTAGAAGCTATCTTAGATAAAAACTAAGAAGGAACTTTCTTAATTTTAAGGTCGGACTGATTTGTCAATTCGTCTAAAAGTTAAGTTAGTAAGACGGACATAAGCAATAACAACAAAATGACATATTTACGAAAACAAAAAAAAAATAAGTTGAATTTAATTTTTAGCAACAAACATAATTCACTGAAGAAAATTAAATATTTGATTCGCACAGCGTTCTTTCATGATCCCGTTCAACTCTGAAACATTCCGAGCGTAGGTAGACGTATCCTTTTAAGAGTTCAAAAGGATTTTATAAAAAAAAATCTCTTCGGAACATTTTTCCACCCGTTTATCCAGTGCACTTGTTCCAACGTAGAGTCTGCAGTGCCCTATCTAATAATTAGACTTGCATAGAGAAGCTAAGTGGATGAGAAGCGAGTTGATACCTACTCGAGACTGCGATGCCTAATTATACTGTCGATAAAAAAAAATACTTAATAACTATCAAGTGTAGACTGTGATTGCAATGAATTGTAACGTAAGCAAAGTCGTTTTGTATGGCAGTGATTTTCTGCGTTATTTTTGTCTGTGTTTATTATTTTGCTCCAATGTGTTTTTTTGATAAAAGAAAACTAATTTGACAAATAAACAATGTAGATAGTAAAGTTCCGAGAAGAGTCGAAATGGGTGCAGTTTTTGAAATTGCAAACTATACATTTTAAGTTGTGATTTCGATAAAGTTTAATATGGAGTATTAACTTTGCGTAGTATTTAGTTTGACAAAATCTTAAAATGACCAAATTTAACTGTTTCGATGAAAGTATTAGAAAGGTTTTCGATTTTTAAGATGATCTACTTACTTCGTAGGCATAGGCATAGGTTTATCTCTTGTAAGAATATGCAATAAATAAAACATTGACCGCAGTACCTTCTGCATATAGGTGCATGTTATGCAAGTATAATTCCTATTAAAATTTCCTATGTTTTTCTAAACTTTCCTAAACATCTTTCACACCATCCCCTAGGGTTGGCACAGTATCAAAATCTCACGTCATAAAATAGTTTAATGCAGATGCTATTAATATAATTGTTTATGCATACATTAAACAAACGAGCATCGCACGCATGACGCATGTGTTGACATGTACCTACTGATTGTACAATATTTGTCGTGTTCCAAACAATAATCCGTCAGTGTGGGTGGTCGG